CTAGAGCAGTGGTTCTCAACCTGTGGGTCGGGACCCCATTTGGGGTCGATCGACCATTTCATGGGGGTCGCCAAGCAAGGCTGTCTGCCATTTTTTTTGTCCGCCATTTTTTCACCCTTTTCCGGCAGGTGCCTTACCTCCCTTGGGCTGGGCCAGCTGGTGGTCGGCCTGCTCCGTCTCTGCCGCTTGCCAGCTACGCCTCGGCCGGCGCAGGGGGCGGAACCACGCATGCGTGGCGCTCCCGGGCAGGGAAAGTCCTCGACTTACGACCGGTTGGGTAGTCCTTGACTTACGACCGGTTTAGTCCTCGACTTATGACCGGTTTAGTCCTTGACTTACGACCGGTTGGGGTCACGGCATTAAAAAGGTTGAGAACCACTGAACTAGAGGGTAACCATGCTGGGAAGAACAAGAAGGGATGGTGAAGAGAACAGAGGATCAAAAGTCTGCAACCTTGGCCTGCTGCTTCTCCTAGGGCCACAGCCCAGATGACACAGCAAAGGCCTGGTGTTTGATTCATAAATGTAGCCACTGTTTTCCCCTCGGCTGGGTGGGAAAATCAAAGCCACCCTAGGTCCCTTCTGCCCCCTTCCTCCCATTCACCCTCTTTTATTGAAAACCGCCCCAGGAAATAAATGCAAGCAGGGCTTAAGGCTTTCCAAACCAGGAGCGCTTTCCTCCCCCGTCCTTCCCGCCTGGCGCTGCATCCTTTCTTGTTTACATTTCGGGCGGTGCGGCTTTTGCTGCCCTGAGAAAAACTCCCCCACTCCGCCCGCCGTAAAAGACGCGGTCATAAATCGAGCCGGCGGCGCGGTGTTTACCACCCCCCCCCCCAGCCACCTGCCTTTTGTGCTCTTCCCGGCTGCCCGAAAGGCCGCATTTCCTGCCGGCCTCGGAGCCCGGTGACCTGGGGGTGGGGAGCGTTTTGGGAAGGAGTGAAACCCTTTCCAGGAAGGAAGGAAGGAAGGAAAGGGACTTACCAGGGCGTGGTTTCGGCAACTGCCCTGCCATCGCAAAGGGCCGCATCCTGGATATGGGGGCTGGCATCCTTCCCTCCTCCCCCGCTACTCATCCAAGAGCGAGCGGCTCGTTTTTCCTGCCGCCTGGTGGGGGAGCCAAATGTCGCTTTGTGACCCGGAGCTGCTGCTGCTGCTGCTGCTGCTATTGCTTTTAAAATTTCTCTCTTCCCGGCCCCCTTTTTCCCTCTGGCTTTGATTCTTGGGCAACTCGGGAGGATCTTTGTGTGCCGGTGGCCAGAGCCGCCTGGCCACCCATCTTCCTGAAAGCCTCCCACGGATGCATTTCCACTGAGCCTGTTCGCCGCGGCGTTGCAGGCTGTGGGATTTTAGCACACCGGCAGCGTCTAAGCAACAATGGTGAGCCATTTGTCCACAGATCCTTTCAAACGCGGGTAGCTACCAGTCAGTAGCGGTGGGTGGGTAGTGTCCGCTCCAGGTTGATTTTCCTAGAGGGCGATCTAAACAGCGAAAATTGCTTGGTTCTGAGGGGGAAAATGTCTACCTCTGTCGTTACAGTCGCCGCTATGCTTACTGTTCTCTTCCCTCCTGTATTTTTCTTAATAGAGCTCGGGAAACGCTTCTTACCGATGCTCCATTTCCTCCTCTGCGGATTTTTCCGATGATGATGATTTCAGCCAAAAATCTGGCTCCCTCTCTCCGGCTCCGGGCGACACCCTACCGTGGAATCTACCTAAACACGAGCGATCCAAGAGGAAGATTCAAGGAGGATCTATCCTAGACCCAGCTGAGAGGGCTGTACTCAGGATAGCCGGTAAGAGACAAATGGGGATAGTAAGGCATGCTGAGAAAAGGACGCTTCCATTGCACGGTGGGTTAGTGTACTGGCGTTTGTGTGTTACACAGAAGGGGGGTAGGGTCATAAAGTGATTATTGCTTGCTTGGTGTACCATGTATTCTATGCCGACTCAGAATTAAGTTTCATTGAGTTCCGAGGGACTTAACATTGTAACATCGCTGTCCAGCGAGTCCGGCTTTTCCGGATCGGTGACTAAGCTATTTTAGCCTGCTCGTCTGTCTGGGCAGAGACGCGGAACGGTGGCAGCGTCTGCAAATGCAAGCCTTGAAATTTTAGAGTAGTGCATTAGAAGTGAAGATCGTGAAAACCGTCCGTCTGGTGTAGCGAACACAGATGGCTAACATTTTGGACGTGTGTGTACGCAAAACTTAGTCGCAGCCTCGGACTCTCGCAGAAAACTCATTATTTTTGGTTGTGGGAATGGTTTCAGTTGTTAGATGGTTGTTGGGTGCGTTTGAATGGAGCTCCTTCGTCCAGTTGGCCTTGGGCTTGAAGGGACTTTGCATGGGTTCCTACCGCCGCGTCGGACCCTGGACCGCCCCCACCAACAATAAAGGGAAGAGGATCTGTTTGGGCGCCCGCTATCAAGAGACTCGAGTTCGTTTTTTATTCTTCCTAAAGTCCAGAAGCTTGCTAGAGCAACAAGACTGGAACTCCAGAAAGCAAATTAAGCGTTGAGAAAATACATATAGCCTGCGGTCGTCAATATTCTTCCCAGGGAGGTCTTGGAAACGAGAGCCCGTAGTAGTTCTATCGCCTTGTCTTCCAGAAAGACGAACCTGCTTCGCAGTGTTTGTAAAACATAGTGGGCAAAGCGTGGAGTCTTTCCACCCGCCTTTCTTTCCTTGCAAACAAGGACCCAGAAGCGGCGGTTTTCCAGTCTTCGTGGAAGCTTTAGGAAAATGAAAAGCGCGAGAAAGGGATTTTGCTCGGGGTCCCTGGCCCCCACTGTCCCTCCGCCGGCTCCAGGATTGCGGTTTGCAAATCACTTCCGGAACTTGCCCTGGCGGAGATGAAACCGAGGAGGTGGGAGGGAGGGAGGGGACAATCTCCCAGCCTGCTGTTTCCGGTGACCGCCAGAGAACTGGCTTGAGGTGGTGGCCACAGCGGCGCAGGAAGCCCGAAGCGTCCTCTGCTGTTGTTGACCTTTCGGGAAAGCCTGAGGCTCTGCAAAGTCACCCTGTTAGGCCCTTGGGAATAATGGGCTAAAAAATCAGGGGTAGTCAACCTTGGCTCTTTTATGACTCGTGGACTTCAACTCCCAGAATTCCTGAGCCAGCTAAGCTGGCTCAGGAATTCTGGGAATTGAAGTCCACGAGTCATAAAAGAGCCAAGGTTGACTACCCCTGGGCTAAATAAATGAGAAAGGCGGACCGGTGGAATAACATGAGGATTGCTCTCCGGAGTTTTCGTGCGCTGGAGAAGAGCTCTGTTATAGGCGTGGTGAAACTGGGAATAGGGTCGAAAGAGATTTATCGGATGCAGCGGGGCAGGGAAAGGCGACGGCGGGGGGGGGGGGGTAATATGCTCAGTCTAGCGGCGTATGAGATCAGAAGGAAGGGGGGGTGTGTGCTGCAAATAAGCGCATGCGCGGTTCTCACTGAGCAAGCGGCACGTTGCTTTGAAAGGGTGACCGGCGGTGACACCTGCAGGACTTTGGCTCCGCCTTTTGGCCGGCCGCCCCTCCCGGCTCTTAGCGCGGTGGTGGTTGTTGTTGTTGTTGTCATGGCCAGCCGAAGCGGTGTGGGGCGCCCGCGTGGGTCCGCAAAACCGATTCTCCTCCTCTCCAGACGGGTCGGGAGGGGAGGGCCGAGTTATTCCTGGCATTGCGACGACGTGTCGGGAGCGTCCGAGAAGGGGCCGGGTGGAGGGCCAGGGGAGGAGGAGAAGACGACGGCCAGCCGCCGCTCAGCCGAGGCTATGGCCGGGAAACGAAAACAACCGCTCGCAAGAGAAAAGAGAAAGAGCGGAGGCAGGGAGGGCTGGTTACTAACGCCAGCTCGGCAGGAGAGACCTCCCTTCCACAAAGGAGAGAAAAGCGTCGGTGGGGAAGTGCAATTTCAAGCGCGCTTAAAATACAAAACTCCGCTTGGCCATCCATAGGGAGGCAGGTTTCTCTTCAGAAGACAGTAGCTTTTGGAAACTGCGGGGCGGGGGCGGGGAAGAGAGAGAGAGAGGTTTTGGAAAGAAGGAACGCTTGGCCCAGGGTCTGGCATGTGAGTGACAGCTGTTTCAAAAGGCAGACAGCAAAACAAAAATAAAAAATAAATAAATCGGGGATCTGATCGTGCTTCGAGCACAAAGTAGCTTCACTCGAGATTGACTGTGCGCTCCCATTCGTGTAGTCCTAGGTTGCAGCCGCTGAGTACATACGTACGCCGGGCACAGATCCAGCTTTCTATATAATGTGTCTTGGCGAGGATAAATCTTAATGCATCTTTCCCCCCCCCCCCCCAGAGTTTCACAAGCACGCCTACCTCCCCCTCCAACCCCGTTATATTTTATCACGTCCAAGCCCCGATTCCGGGAATCGGTTAAGAAAGAGGGAGGCAAGGGCACTCCTTAACACGGCAGCCCCGTGAAAGTCCCTTTCCTAGCGGGACGGCAGCCTCCGTGTTCCGCCAACCCCGCCTTTGGCCTCGAATGGTCCCTTCGAGCCAGAAGCTAACAACGCGGGTTGACTTCGGCGTAAAAGCGCGTTGCGATTTGCGCCGTGCCGCCCGCGGGCACGGCTTTGCTTAAAGCGAGAGCGAACGGGAGCGAACGAATGCGGCAGAGCCTCCTGTACGGACTGCGGGAGACGTCGGGGCAAACCCAGAGCCGGAGGTCACCTCCAAAGCCGGCCGGTGGCATCCGTGAACGCTTCACCCTTTCCCCCCCCCTTCCCCACGACGACTGGGGGGGGGAGAGCGCGCGCTCCCAAAGCCCCGGAGCCGAAAGCTCGTGAAACCCGAGGAGGGAGGAAGCCCGTTCCCGATTGGCGGTACACACGTGCTCCCACGCCGCTGGGGGGAGGCGGCCTGGGCGTTTCCTCGGTCCGCTTGCTCCGCGATAGCCCCCCCTCCCTCCCTCCTTGGGCTGCTCTCCCTCTCCCTCTCTCCAAGGCTTCCAGGCGGCCGGGAGCCTCGGCGCGACCTGATCGAGGCAGGGTCAAAACTTCAACCATGGCTGGTTCTGTTTCTCCTGGCGGTCGTGCCTATACCGAGGAGCAGGAGTACTTGCAGGCTTACGAAGATGTGCTGGAGAAATACAAAGGTAGAGTTAAAGTGTTGTGCCCACGCTCATCTTGAGGAGAAGGATTCCTGGGCTGCAGTGCTGGGGGTCTGCTGGGGGTTGCAGGGGAGCAGGAGGCGGAATCCGGGTCCCTGGGACTTGCAGGCTGCTAAGGGAAAGAGGGCAGAAAAGAGAGAGAAGCATGCTGAGATCTCTTGTCTTAACAGAAGTGGAGGGACCGTTTAGGTGGTAGAAGATGGCTCTTCTGCTTTCTTAAAGCGTTTAGAAGTTCCCATGTTTTTCATCCCTTTCTGGGATGGAAACAAACAAAACAAAAAAAAACATTGCTGAGATAATTCTGTGCTGCATTATACCAGAGACTAGTTTTCATTTTTGCATCAGTGAGTTGTTGTCTGAATAACTAACAAATTCTGGCAAAGTAGGTCTTCTCTCTCTCTCTCTCTCTCTCTCTCTCTCACACACACACACACACACACATTAAGCCCTTATTGTGGGTGTGATAAAGCCAATTTAAAAATAAAAATGCATGTTAATACTTTCCATTGCCATGCATATCTGTGCTTAAAACTCCATCCTGTTGAAGCTCATAGACAACTAATGTTACCAGAATGACTTAGCATCTTGCATTGGGCAAAGGCAACAGCAGAAGGCCTTTAAGGAAAAACTCCCTGGAATTTTTAATCTCCATAGTGAAATTCATTTTCGATTTATCAAAAAAGCTGACTTTATTGTTCTCTTACTTTTATGAGATATGAATAAAATTATACATTATGCTAGATATTGATTTGAAGTCAGTAGATTTCTTTGTAGTAATATTTAAAGCAACGTGACTGAGATAATGCAATAGCTATAACCAATATTTATTGCAAAACCCAAACCTTTTGTTGGCTCTCTGCTCTTCTATAAATTGCACCTGTAGCACTTAACACCTCTTTGTGCCAGCAAGTAGTAAGAGAAAGTCTGGAAGATTGTATTCACATTAAACAGGCTTTTAAATGATCTCTGTCAACAGCTTTTAATGACAGTTTCCCTTTTTAGTTTTCATTATTGAAAGAGAAAAAAATCTTCATATTCAACCTTTAATTGACTTCACTAGTTATAGTCATCTATAGTGAGTCACCCTCATGTAGAACAGCATTAAAAGATATTTGATGATTCCTTTGTCTATAACCAACTGGGTCTGCACAATGATGGAGCATGTGCTATATCTAACAATTAAAAAGCATTAGGCTTCAGTTAGCCAAGTTTTTGCTGGACTGGTTATAAAGGAGGACTATTGTGGCTCTCTGTTTTAGTGATAAACATTGGGCAGTGTAACAGTTCTAAACCTGTATAATTGTAATTGTAATTTTCTTTCCAATTTCTAAGTTATCAAATTACAACAGTATAATTCAGTGTATAATGAAAATATTTAAACTTTATAAATTAATTGCAAAAGGTATGGAAATAAAAAACTGCAATCCTTTGTATGTTTACTTGGAATTAAAGTAATCTCTGTTTACTTATTTGTATTGTCTCATTTAATTTATCTTTTTATTACTATGTAGGAATTTGAACCTAGTTTTCTGCATTCCTAGTTAAAACTTCTGAAGCCTCTGTACTACCCTGATTTTTATGCATGTTGCATATATATTCTCATTGATCAGTTATTTTTCTTGATTTATGTTGAAACCTTAGGAAAACCTTACAGTTGTGAATCACATGGACACAATTATGAAGGCATTGCAGTGGGCCTTAGAACTGGGTACATATTCACTGTCCAGGGTTTTACTTTCCCATTTGATGTGACTAAACATTGCTGGAATAGTTTTTGCTTCTAACCTAGTGATAGGTCAAAAAGAAAGTTGTACATCCAAATTCACCTTCTATTAATATTAAAAGTTGTAGCCATGCCAGTTCAGTAGACTTGGAATAGATAGCACTGTGGTGTGGCTGGAGTTAAAGTAAACAGAAAACATATCTACATTGGCAGAACACCAAAGAACCGGGGAGATCTCTTGCTGAATTGAGGGATGTGAAGTCAATTGTGTATCCAAATTAGAGCATGAAGTTGTTTCTAGAATTGTGAGATGATTGTTACTTTTTCCTAGATAGGATATAAAAGTGCAACGTTCTCCCAAGAACTGTATGAGGCAGGCACATTATGTCTGACATTTGAAAGATAGAAGAAGCTTTACAATGATAAAAAAAGAACAAGGATTATCTAGCCTAAACCTCAGCAAATCCTATTCTCTTTTTTCTTTGAATTTATTTTAAATGATTGACCAGTGTGGTCATTGATTTTATTTGGAAGTTTGGGAAATATTGTATGTCACTGGAAAACATTCATAGGCTTTTGGACTCACAAAGATGGAAAGAAATGGAAAAGTCATTACAAAATAATGTAGTCTCAAGCCATCAGTATAGCATTGATGACTTCACTGGAGTAACTGTTACCCTGATTTGGAATGGTTACTAACCTAATCTACAAAGAATAGTTATAATGCATACTGTCAATAAGGAATGACATTTCATATAATGTTGAATCTACTATACCTTGTACAGTATTGTACTGTCTTTCACCAAATAAATATGAGGTGCAGCTTCTGGTTATGCATTCTAAGATATAATCACATGCTTGATTTTTAAAGTACTCTTGGACATTATTGGAGTACTAAGTTATGTGCAGCACAGCTGTTAAATACTATAACTAGCAGTGTCAGCTGTAGAAACCTGACTGTTGATTTTGTGGGTCGGAATTACATGACACTGAGTATGATTATCAGATCATTAATGTATGATTTCAAAATCATATTCAATGAGTATGGATTGGTTTGATAGCTTACTGATTTTTAAGATTGATACCACATACATACAAAAATACGTCCATGATTGCTGTAAACATAAAACTTAATGGCTGTCTTCAAACATTGCTAAAGTAAGATCTAGTTGTGATAATAAATACCTGAAAATTATCCCACCATCATATGACATTAAAGAACTATGAAAGATGTATTGGGATTCATAATGAAGCCACCAATTGGTTGTATCTGATACATTAACTTTTTTTTGCTATTTTTACACATAGAATCTCTAGAGCTTTTTAATGAAGAAAAATTGACCATCTTGCTTGATACAGAATTAAGTACGAACACAACCATTTATTCATGAACAGAAAATAGCTTCTTTGCTGTTTCTCTGAAAATGATCAAAAGTGATACCTTTGCTTTTTTATGCTACAGCCTATTTAAATTTCTTTTTAAAAAGTTAATATTAATTTTATCAATGATTCAAAATCAAAATGACAGAATAAGACACCATGTTTAAATTATGAGGTAACAAAACCTAGTCTTGAAACATTTAGTTTAAAAATCCCAATAATCTCAGAGTGTATTCTTAACAGTTTTGGTAGGGAAGTAGAGTCCATGTGGAAATAATGTGGGCATAGATTTTTATTTGCAACATATTTGCTTGCATCTACTTTTCATTCATTTACTATGTATTTATTAGTCATACATGCCCTTGAGCTGAAATAACGGTTTTCTCATGAGACTTGACCAGTTATACTGAAATGACAGAAGCTTGTTAATTAAATTTGCTCTCCCCCTTCATAGTTGGAGATGAGAAACCAATCCAATATTGTTCAAGATATGCACCAATTAAAAAGAGCTTATTCTTCCATTGAGTTCACATTTAGAAAATTTCTTCTTTTATGAATCAGTTTCTTTGGAATAAAACATTTCATCAAATCTCATTTTATTTGGAAGTGATGGTTTTGGTAATCCATGCTCTCTCAGCCTCAATCCCCACCATTCATTCTGTAATATGAACATAGTCATAATGATCTATCTGATAAAGACATTTTAAAGAGTTAGTGAGATAAGGAGCCCACTATCCAAAGCAAAAAACTAGCAAACATAGGATTAACTACTAATCTATCAAAGGTTCAAATGAAGGTTTATAGCTTTATTTGATTATAGGGTCTTCTGACACTAGTTGTTCATACGTTAATGCTGATATTTCTTCCAAATCTTTTTAGCCTTTATTTGGAATAGCAGGGTGCAAAGGAATGAATTAGGGATAATGATAAATGATTGGAAGGATTATCAGGAGGTTCCGGTGAGGGATACCTAATATGAAGCTGAATTACTATGGGTTCCTGTGCACTTTCTATTTATTTTAGAACCTCGGAGATCTTTTTAATAGCATTTAAATTTATATACTGCCCCATTGTGCTTTACAGCCCTCTGGGTGGTTTACAATGTAAACATTATTTGCATATTTCCCCCAACAATCTGCGTCCTCATTTTATTGGCCTCAGAAGGATGGAAAGTTGAGTCAACCTTGAGCCAACCTTGAATCAAAATCCAGGATCAAACTCCAGGATATGGGCAGGGTTTGCCTGCAATACTGCACATTAACCACTGCACTACCAGGGCTCAAAAGCCACTAGTTCTCTCTTTTGATTCAGATGACAGAGAGCTGAAACTGAGGTTTGGCAATTTACAGGAAGAGATGAGCTTGGACAATGATTAGGCAAACTAGACATTATGACTTAGCACTCCGTATGGATCTAGCTGGCCTTACTCATCTAATATTCCAAGCTAGATTTCCCCAAAAAACTGACCTAGAATGTTAAATGAATAAGGCCAACTGGGTTCATTGGGAATGCTAAGTCATAATGTCTGAGTTTGCCTAATATGCTTGATTAAGAAAACACAAAATTTCATCCAATACCAAAATAAGCTGCGTTATATACTCATGTGCTTTGTGAATCAATGTTTGCATATTGGGCAATTCCAGCCACTGTGGTTCATGTATTATGATTTATGACAATATTTTAATACACATTCAATTGTAATTTATGCAATACAGCATGATTAAAGTATAGCTTAGGACAGTGATGGCGAACCTTTTAGAGACCGAGTGCCCAAACTGCAACCCAAAACCCACTTATTTATCGCAAAGTGCCAGGGCTTCATCAGCATTGTGGTGCCCTCAGGGGGGGCATGGGGGCATAGCCCACTGGGTGGGCGTGGCTG